GGCGCTCCCCGGCCCGCCCGCCGGCCCCCGACTCCGGCGCTCCGAGACTCTGTTTTGCACTTTTCATTCAATCCCACCCCCCGTCACTTCCTTCAGAAAACAGAAACCATCAGGACCTGCCTTAAAGAGACCGCGCACCTCCCGGCCCTTAAAGGGCCCGCTGCGGCTCCCCGCGCTCGGCGGCGGCCCCCGGGGAGGGCGGGAAGCGGGGACCGGCGCTCGGCGGCTTTGTGGGAAAGGCTTTCTCGGCCTCCCTCCCTCCTGGCCGCGCTCCGGCAGCGACCAGGCTGGGTCAGGAGTTTGCTCTCGCGGCAAATCCCTTCCTCCCAGCAGGGGCGGGACGGGTGACTCTTACCCCGCCCCCCCTTTTTGGCCTGTGCTCGTGCCACGTGGATGAAATAATCGGCCCTGGATTTTTAGGGGTTTGGTTTGGTCTTCTGGTTTCTCTGACACAGCGGATTTCTGAAAAGCTTCTTCAAAATCAGACTTCACCTGACTCTCCCAGCTTGTCCTGCCCTAGGTCAGGGAACAAAGGTGGTTCGGGCCCACCCCCACCGGTTGACAGCCCCCAGGTGTGAGGGCTTGATAAGTCAGGCTGCCCAGCGGGACCTGGTCTCAAAGCTCCCCGGGTGTTCTGAGCCCCTGGGTGACCTTCCTTTTCGGCCCAGCATGCCTCCTGTCCCCCACAGTCCCTGACCCTGTTCTCTGCTGCCCGGTAACAGACTGAGAAAATCCTGGGAATGTTAGGATTCCAGGCCACTCAGAGAATTTCCAGAGACTCCACCACGGGGTGTGGGGGAGGGGGGGAGTGCTCCCCGCAAGCCACAAGAAAATATGCCTGCCCTTCAAAGCACCCCAACAGAGGACCGAGTAGTCTGGGGATTCTGGAGTTCTGCCTCTCTTGATTAGCTGTGTCATGTGGGCACTTTTTAAAAATCCTTTGGGCTTAAGTGTCCCCCTGGAAATGGAGTTACGGAGCCTGCAGTGTCTTGCCAGTCCTGAACAAGAGAAAGCCCCATTGTTCCCTGAGGTCCATTTTGACGTGGTGCCCCTGATCTTTCTTGGAGCCCCCTTCCCTCCCAGGGTGTCTCCTGCACAAGGCCCAGTGAACTGCAGGGGCACACTAGAACCCCCCTCTTGTGACCGGCCCTGGGCCCTTCCCAGGAAGGGTTTTCCAAATTTGCCTTCCTTAAAGAATGACGTGCATGCTTTTTGACAAACAGATTCTTGGGTCTCTAAATCTGTGGGATCAGATTGTCCAGGGAAAAGAACTGAGAATTCGCATTTTAAAGGAGCATCCACTTGGTGCTTGATGACAACAGGGAGTCCAGTTTGACAGGAGCTCTAAAGAGCATCTTTTCTGGAGACCGTCCTGGCCCTGGGGATTTATCTTCCCTTTAGGGAGAGACCAGGGATAAGACAGGCCTTAGCGAGTAGTTGGATGAGCACCAGGATTGCCCCCCTCGGCGCTCTCACCTGAGCTGTGAAGGCTGCTGATCACAGAGGCCCAGGGTCTCAGAACCAGCCTCCTGCCGGAAAGCTGGGTCTTCCCACGTGAGTCAACCTCACAGTCATTCGGTGCCTCGCCCACATTTCCTCACTTCCCTGCTTCAGGTCCTGTCCCGTTCACACCAACTCTGTCCTCAGCCTTATTCCCAGGCCCCTACCCCGTCCCCACCCATCCCCACCTCCCACAAGGTCCCGAGAGAAGCAAGCAAAGACGCCGTGGATGTGTGATTTCTTTTCTAGGTGTCTAAGGCTTTGTCTTCCTTCAAATGTTGAGTTTGGAAACAAGCAGGGAAGATCTCACCTCTTTCCCACCGGCCTCTTCTCCAGAATCAACTTCCTTCTCTTCCTCAACCACGGATCAAACTCACGTTGTCTCTTGAAATGGTGGAGAATTGGAAATGCCACCGTGTGGCCGCTCTCCCCGTTTCTTCCTCTTGATTGAAGCCCACCAGCTTCTCTACATGCAGGGCCAAACTCACTTCCCAGGAAGACTCCGCTGTCTGCGAATCCATCTCTGTCCCCCTTTGCTTGCCTACCTCTGACCTGCAACAATCATCCTTTTTTATTCGAGCTGCCACCACGCACTGTGTTCTTCTTACGTCCAAGCATCTGCGCTGAGCATTTTCATTTTCCTGGCAACCATCCAGAGTTGGTCTATTCTTGGCCTCTTTTTTACTGACTAGGAAAACCGAAACTTAGAGAGGTGAAGTAATGGCCCTGAGTTCACGCAAGTAGGAGAAGCGGGGGGACACAGACACAATCTTCCTGGCCACCAAGCCCTCACTTTTAACCGCAGTAGTATCTGTCTGTCTGCAGCCCTCGCTCCCGGCCTCATTCCGCACGCGGCCTGCACTATCTCCTCCTGTTATCTAACGGATGTGCGGTAATCTTGGATCGCCAGTGAGGCTGTCAGTTCAAACAGGCCAGCCCCGTGCTGGGAACAGACTGTGCTTCCTTAAACCATCCGGGCAAAGAAGCATCCATTCATCTTCAACGTGAAGCCCTCAGAGGAAGGGCTCTAACCAGCCTAATGGCCCTGGCTACCACCAAACAGCCCTCATTGTCAGAGTGTTCTTTATGTCTAATCGCACGCTCTCTTCCCCACCATAAACCAATTTCCTCTTCTTTTTTTTTTTTTCCCTCTATCCCTAGAAAAGAGGTTGCCAGTGGTGCTCAGAACCATGGCGGCACAGGATCTCAAGCCCAGAGCTTGGCCACTCATGGGCCGTGGGAGTCAGCGAGTCGGTCTCTGCCTCTGTATCATTGGTACATAGAAATGCTCACCTCCCTGGCTTGCTGGAAGAGGGAATGAGATGCTGTGTATAAAGCACTTGGCAACGTGCTCCACACACAGTACAGGCCCGATGAATGGCGGTGGCGGTTATCTAGTGCATTTATTCTCTCCCGTTGTACCAAATACGAAACCCCTGCTTAACCTGCACACAGCCCCGCTGCCCCTGCACACGCACGCATGCGCACACACACTCATTCGGAAACATTGTTTTCTCCGTATCCTCTTCAGACCTTCTCGTTTTGTGCTCTCCGAGACCTCAGAAACTGGAAAGTGGGCTGCCAAGCCTCAAGAGGCCTCTCCACTTTGCTTTGTGATCTGAGTACACCTCGACTCAGCAGGGAGAGAAAGGTTGTGCCATCTCCTGCTTTGCGACCAAGGATGCAGGTGCACACGAGGCCCCATGGAAGGTTGAGAAGGAAACGGAACCCACAGCCTCTACTGGGAGATGGAGAGAACGCAGCGGGGAGCTCGTCTTTGCAACAGCGGAAGAGTTGTCTTCCTGTTGGCTGTGCAGGCGGCTGTGGGTTTGGGTTCCCTGACAGTCTTTGCTGAGTGGACCTGGCAGATAGGGCTGGTGTCCTTGCTTTGAGCCTAAGTGAGACGGAGGGGTAACGGGGATGGGGCATGGGTGCGTGCCTCTGCTTTTCAAGGTCAACTGCAAAGCCCAGACGCTCACTGTCCAAGCAGTCACACACTGGCATGTGGCCTCACACCCTGGCATGGCTACATCAGTCTAGGGTGCGGGGAATAAAACGCCAGAAGGAACTGTGGCCAAGATAGAGTGAGAAGGGCAGAGAGGCCAGGACCTCTGGGGGCAGGGGAGGCGGCCATTCTTCGCAGGCAGAAAACTAGCAGAGAGGGTGTTGAGTGGAGTTGAGATGAATCAGTGATGTCCAGGAAGGGAAAAGAAACTTGGATGGCCAGAGCTGTGAGGGAAGGTAGATCTCAGCTCACTGATTCCAAGTCCAGCTTTCTGAAGACCCTGAGCAAAACCATCTCCTCTCGAGACCAGCAGGTGGCATAGCAGTTAAGGCGCTGGCCGCCCATGTGGTCAGTCACGGTTTGAGTCCTGGACCTGGACGCTTGAGACTCACATTGGTGGGTGTGTGCCCCAAATCCCCAGATAAAATGGAGGAGAAGGGATTGCAGGTGGCCAATCCTCCCTGGGGAGGTGGGGATTCTCACTTTCTTTTTCTATCTCTCTCTGTCTCTGGTGAGCACACACACCATGTAACAAAAATCTCTCTTATAAAAACAAACAAAACCCTCCTACTTCCTGAGGCCTTTCCTGCCCCCACCTGGACACTCAGTCAGTCAGTCAGTCATCTGATTCTGTCATTAGGCACATGAAGGATGAGTCACTGTGTTAGGTACTGTGGGATGCAGACCGGTACAGAGGTTTGTTACCTCAAAATGGAACCTACGGTTGGGAACCAGCAGTTAGCGTAATGGCTATGTCGCTGGACTCCCACGTAGTCGACCGCGGTTCGCGTCTCGGACCCGGTGGCTTAAATCTCACGCCGGGCATGTGTGCGTGCATGCCCAAGATCCGGAGAGGAGAATGGAGGAGAAGGGATTGCGGTGTGACCATCCCCCCTGGGGGGTGATTTCTCGCTTTCTGTCTCTATGTCTCTCTCTGTCTGTCTGGCGAGCGCACGCGCACGCGCACCCGCACTATAGCAAAAACCTCTCCAAAAAAAAAAAAAAATGGAACCTACGGTTGAAGGGGTGCATGTGTTCAAAGCAAAACAGAACAACAGCACAAAAAATTGCGGCAGGAGCCAGACAGTGGTGCAGTCCTACATGGGGAGGGTCCTGGTTCAAGTCCAGAGACTCCTCGCTCCTGCCACCAGTACATTGGCATGTGTTTGCCCGTGATCCTGGGCTGGCTAAAGACTGGGGGTGGATCATGGCATCAAGACTGTCCTTCCTCGGGGGCTCTCTCTCCCTGTCTCGCTCATGGAAGAA